AAAAAACACGGCGAAGCAGACCTCTGGGGCTCACTTCCCAAGCAGGGCATCTGCCACATGGGGAAAATGATCCAGGGAGTTCTTCGGGATAAGTTCGTGCCTGGAGCAATCGAAGTGGCCGAGACTTCAGACACCCATGCGGTCCGGAATCAAATAGCGGCAGACTGCGAGGCCGATGAGGTTGATCAGGCGGATGCCGCATTCCAGAATTTGGCTTCTGGATTGAAGATNNGGTGGATTTCCCCATGGGTGATGAGGGCTCGGCTACTGCAACTATGCTTAAGCATGCGAAGCGACCCAAGCAAGATGATGAGCATGATGACTTCATGCAGATCTGGGGGATGAATTCGTTAGCCTCAACCTCATCCGGCGCCGGGTCATCTCGGGGCAACAAGGAAAAGGACGAGACTGAGTCCAAACCGAAGAAGATTAGAATGCATTCTTCATCTACGTCTACGAAAGCTCAGGCTTCGAGTCTCTCCGATGGGCAGTTGCGCAGCGAGACATCTTCCAATGCCGAGGGTGTTGGCTTTGGACAGGCAGCATCCTGGCTGTTTGGATTGAAGTCCGCCAAGGGGAAGGGGGCTGGGAAGTCTGGTCAGAAGGAGAATAAAGAGCTGGATGCCACCGAGAAGGTTTTGCAGCAGCACGACAATTTCAAGAACATCCTGGCTCAGGAGAACTCCTTCATGAGCTTGACCTTCCAAAAGATCAACGGCCATTCCGAGAAGCTCTCTGCCCGGAACACCCTGGACCTTCAGAAAACTTATCGTGACCTTTCCAACGGGCAGACGGATGGGCGAGCCTGCGAAATCATGAAAAGGTTGGCCAAAGCTTTGGCAGAGATCGAACCTATGTCCCAGTTTGTCTGTGCTTTCAAAGATCAGGAGGCGACAGCAGAGACGATGCTTGAGGGGCTGACAGAAGCCAGAAAGGCTGGGTTGGTCATTCCGGCTGCTGCAGACAAACTCTGCATGGCTCGCATGCTACTTCAGAAAGGCAAGGCCGGGATGCACGAAGAGTTTTTGCTGCTGGTGGAGTCTGCCGACCTCCGCGACTTGTTCAAGGACGACGTGGACAGCTTGAAGGAATTCCAGTTCGTCTCAGTGAAATCCGTGATCACAAAAATCTTGAACGAAGAGCTCGAGGCACCTGGATTTCAGAGTTCCAATCCTGGTGAAACCGTCTCCGCCGAGCAGAAGCAGCAGAGGGAGGCGAAACGACGAGACGTGACTTGGCCTCATGGGGTATGTCTCTGGGTGTGTTGTAACATGCTGCAAGTTTTCAGTGAAGCCCGAGGTCCGTTATGTTAAAGCTACCATTTCATAGATGTTTTGAGTTACAGCATAGTATAGATTATATAGCCAATATAGCTTGTACAGTTTCAAGTTTCAAGTTCCGAAACACCAAAGAGATTAACATCTTGAAAGTTTCAAGATGTTAATCTCTTTGGGTTTTCGGCGCTTAGGGCCTCAGAATCTCCAGAGTCTTTGGGTGGTGCAGATGAAGTGACATAAAATAAAACAATATTGACAGTATGGACAGTACTGATGAACTCTGAATCATCTGTCAATTCGTCAGCAGCTACGACTCCGACCCATGCTGCTATGGTGGATTTGGGTTTGACATTGATTCAGCATGGGCCGAGCTAGATAGGCATACCTTTCGGGTCCTTAGCAGAACAGCCACGAACTCGGAAGTGTTATGTTATAGT